TTCATTGCCAGTTTTTTTGCTCCTCAAAATATGAAAGTTACCGAGTACAAGATGATTTTGGGGTCATTTCCCACCTAAAGACACACATGACGATACTTAATAATCTTTGTTTGAAGAAATATAAACAGGAAAGCACTTTAATCCAAATCAAAACATTCTATTTCATTTGTAATTATTTATGTTATTTTGTGAGTTCTGTTACTCTGTGTTCCTGCTTTTTATTAGTGTTTGTGTGCAGCCGGGGGGCCAAGAGTGGAGAAGAGTGGAGCCGACGACCGGTCCATTGATCAGCGATCGTCAGAGGTAAGTATTTAATGCACATTAGAGGTTAAGAGATGAAGAGCCTCCACATTAAACACATGTATGTATCAGTTGGATCACTTGGATCCACCAAGCAAAGCTCTCACACACCTCATCAAACTCAAATGAATCTCACGTCTTTGTGGGTGAAACTTTTACAGAATGTCAGTCTGAAATAGAATCGACAGTTGTGTGAAAAAGTGTTTGCCCCCTTCCTGATTTCTTATTGTTTTGCATGTTTGTCACACTTAAATGTTTCAGATCATCAAACAAATTTAAATATTAGACAAAGATAACACGAGTAAACACAAAATGCAGTTTTTAAATGAAGGTTTTTATTATTAAGGGGGGAAAAAAATCCAAACCTACATGGCCCTGTGTGAAAAAGTGATTGCCCCCCCCCTGTTAAAACATAAATTAACTGTGGTTTATCACATCTTTGGAAAGCTGAGTTCAATTTCTCTAGCCACATCCAGGCCTGATTACTGCCACACCTGTTCTCAATCAAGAAATCACTTAAATAGGACCTGCCTGACAAAGTGAGGTAGACCAAAAGATCCTCAAAAGCTAGACATCATGCTGCGATCCAAAGAAATTCAGGAACAAATGAGAAACAAAGTAATTGAGATCTATCAGTCTGGAAAAGGTTACAAAGCCATTTCTAAAGCTTTGGGACTCCAGCGAACCACAGTGAGAGCCATTATCCACAAATGGTGAAAACATGGAACAGTGGTGAACCTTCCCAGGAGTGGCCGGCCGACCAAAATTACCCCAAGAACGCAGCGACGACTCATCCAAGAGGTCACAAAAGACCCCAGAACAACATCCAAAGAACTGCAGGCCTCACTTGCCTCAATTAAGGTCAGTCTTCATGACTCCACCATAAGAAAGAGACTGGGCAAAAATGGCCTGCATGGCAGAGTTCCAAGACGAAAACCACTGCTGAGCAAAAAGAACATAAAGGCTCGTCTCAGTTTTGCCAGAAAACATCTTGATGATCCCCAAGACTTTTGGGAAAATACTCTGTGGACTGACGAGACAAAAGTTGAACTTTTTGGAAGGTGTATGTCCCATTACATCTGGCGTAAAAGTAACACGGCATTTCAGAAAAGGAACATCATACCAACAGTAAAATATGGTGGTGGTAGTGTAATGGTCTGGGGCTGTTTTGCTGCTTCAGGACCTGGAAGACTTGCTGTGGTAAATGGAACCATGAATTCTGCCGTCTACCAAAAAATCCTGAAGGAGAATGTCCGGCCATCTGTTCGTGACCTCAAGCTGAAGCGCACTTGGGTTCTGCAGCAGGACAATGATCCAAAACACACCAGCAAGTCCACCTCTGAATGGCTTAAGAAAAACAAAATGAAGACTTTGGAGTGGCCTAGTCAAAGTCCCGACCTGAATCCGATTGAGATGCTGTGGCATGACCTTAAAAAGGCGGTTCATGCTCGAAAACCCTCCAATGTGGCTGAATTACAACAATTCTGCAAAGATGAGTGGGCCAAAATTCCTCTACAGCGCTGTAAAAGACTCATTGCCAGTTATCGCAAACGCTTGATTGCAGTTGTTGCTGCTAAGGGTGGCCCAACCAGTTATTAGGTTTAGGGGGCAATCACTTTTTCACACAGGGCCATGTAGGTTTGGATTTTATTTCCCTCTTAATAATAAAAACCTTCATTTAAAAACTGCATTTTGTGTTTACTTGTGTTATCTTTGTCTAATATTTAAATTTGTTTGATGATCTGAAACATTTAAGTGTGACAAACATGCAAAACAATAAGAAATCAGGAAGGGGGCAAACACTTTTTCACACAACTGCAAATCAGAGTTTGAAGATCAAAGATATTGACGCACACCCTCGGTGTGTGCCGGGCGACGGCTGGTGTCTGTTTGATGGAGTCAGACAGCAGACTGAGTAAACTCATCAGCGAGCTAACGAGCCAAAGCTAACAGACGATCAATGAATGCATGTGTGTGATTAGTTCACTGGTGCTCACATTAACAGTTTAGTGTAGAAGCACAACTTCTTTTACCAATACAACTCTTAAAGTTACTGGGGTTCTTGAGTTACTTCTACTTTATACTTAGATTATGTTTTATAAATAGTTTCTGAGAACATGAGGCCTTCTTCATATAAGTTCACAATAATTCAAATAAACTCGACCGGCTATAACAGTAGAAATGGTGCTAACGTGTCAGTCCAGTAGCTTCATATCACATAATACAACGGCTGTATCAGAGTACTTTTACTTTGCTAGTAGTACTTCTAAACTTTTGCTTTATCAATGCTTCTCATGTAATGAAGTATTTTACTTTTTACCTGAATACTTCCACCTGCAGAATATTTTAGTAGCAGTGGCAGTAAATAATCTTATTTTAATGTGAGTGCCATAAAGATCAACGTTTTTTTTAAGGTCAGGGGGTTTAAATACAATTTTAGATTTAGAGATAAATGGTGTAATTCATTTTTCATGGGATAGACAAATAACAGGAACACCTGTAAAAGTTTATGTAAAATAAATACTAGCTTCTTAACGCTGTGAGGAAATTGTGTTTGAGTTTGCAGTTTGAAATGTAGACTGTTAGCCATAACTGTTTCATGGTGACGCTCATCGTATTGCCGAGGAAATACATTTATTTTATTTATTCATTTTATTTATTTTAATGTAAAAGTGTAACTATAAAAAAATCCAACAATCAACAGTGTTCCTTAAATGCAACACAATATAGATTATTATGGTTATTATTGAGCCAACCAGCCTAATAGTGATGGTGATGATTTGTTTTTCTTCTTCTTCAACTTTTTAATATTACTATTATTATAATTACTATTATTACCGTTATCATTATTTGTATTATTATTTTTTTATATTTTTTATAATCATTATTGCCATTGCTGTTATTGTTGTTCTTATAATTATTGTAATTATTATTATTATTATTATTATTGTTATTATTACCGGCCCAGCAGGTAGTGGTGTTTACCTGCAGACGCCTCTCTGTCTCGTCTTTATTTGCCTCCATCACTCTCTGTCCTGCGGCCGGGCAGCACCTCGGGGCGCAGAGCTTATCAGCTCTCTGTTTACCTCTCAACTAATCCCCATTAGTGAGGAGGGGGCATTGGGGGACCTTGTTTTTGGTCCCAAACAGGAGATCAGCTGGTTAACAGCTCAGACTGACGGATCTCAATCTGAGCTCAGAGACCGACTGTCTGGCACGAAAAGAGGAGCCGGAGAGACTCGCTGATCGCCGCCGATAACAAGGATATTTATGAACGTTAACGTTTGTTTTATCTGGTCTTTATACATCATATGTCATTGAGAGGAACAACATGTGCGTAAAGTACAATCATGGAGTTAGGAAATAACTTATTTCTGACTGATATCTTAAAATATGGCAACTTGGGAGCATTTATGAGACTCTTCCATCCAAAATAACCATTTATCACATTGACTCAACTCTTGTCAGTCATCAGAGCTGCTCCACTATTTCCCACAAACCCCTCTGCATAAGTATAAACGAGCTCCTGAGGTTTCTGTCGGAAATGTTGTAGTAAATGTGGCTCCTGCTGTTTGTTCTCGTGTCTCGCATTAGGACACGAGTGTGGCTGTAATTATACAATAATGCCTTTTGGGAAACGACGTGTTCTCAGGCCGGAGGAACAATTACGCGCAGAGAGAAAAACAGGAATTGATGCTTTCCCCTCCCTGGTTTTCACACTACTACCACCATCATCTTTGTTCTCGGGAATCATTCCAGCAAATACAGTTTTCTCCCATAAACGTGAAAACAAAAGTTGGAGAAGAATTGTATCTGAAATTCGAACCACATGTAGCCTACTTGTTTTTATCCCTCATTTGTGCGTAACAGCCAATTAGACGACAAAAATACTCAGAACCCAAAGTGACGTCAACTATTCAAATGACCAACAGTCACATTTACAATAATATATAAAAACAGAAAAGCAGCACATTGTCACAGCTGGAATAAAGTTGTTCGCTTGATAAACATTTCGAATGACGATCAATTAATCGAGTAATTTGAGCACCAAACCAAACGATTAAAAAAGCATTTGGTCTCGGGTCATTTAGCTCATTGAATCAATAACTGGCCATTCCATTAAGGTCTTTTGCGTCTTTGTAACCAAGACCTCTGAAACCATAAATCCATATAAAACCCCAGAACTTCATGCTTTCATTCTGTAATGTGGACATTTGACACGTTGATTCTGTGTAATCACTGTAATTGTCGAGCTCTCCTTGTGGCTTTATGTTAGAAAGAAATATAAATCTGCATTACAGGATCACTGCAGTCGTTGTTCCGTGCAGGATTAGGCTGTTACCTGTGAGAATAACATCGGTCTGAACTGAAATAACACTGAAATAAAAGCCCCCCCTCCCCTTAAAATTCTCCCGTCCATTTTCCACAACGGGATAAATGGTGAAACTTGTAGCAATAATACCCCCTTCTTTCACACAAACGCCTCCCCGCTGCCATCTCCTCCAGCCCCGGCTGCCCCCGAAGCCTCGCGGCTGGGGGCTCTCGGAGAGCCTTTCTCCACGAACAAAAAAAAAAGAAGCCTCCTGAAGGGGAACAAAAGTGACCACATTTTCCCCCCCGTGTCCCCCCCTTCTCTGCGCAGAATAACCCGCTGCCTGGCCCTCAAATGGGAATATTAGGACGTCAATCTCACGGCCCCTGTGCGCCTTTGTCTTTGCTGAGTGCACGGCTCTGCCTACCACACACCTTTTGTCCGACAATCCAATAAGGGCCATTATTCCCGTCTCCCTGGCTCGGCTGCTGCTCGCTCTTCGGGTGTATTTTAGGTGCTTAATCGCGTCCTTTAAAGGACCTCAAATGGAGAATAACTTCCTCCTTTCACGTCGCCTGGCACCGGGACAAAGAGTTCCTGTGGCCCGGCCTCCCGCAGCAGCTCTGCCCCTTAATATGTTTGCGAGTGAGATTTCTGCCTCCGTGCATCTGATTCACTTCTGTGACCCCACATGGGAGCAATAATTATTGGATTATTATTCTTATTCTTACTTTTTATTATTTAGGGGGAAAATTCCGTTTCAGTTCTGTGACGGTGATGTATTTCACCATAGTTTCTACAGCACTGAGGACGTTTTACAACCAAAAATATATAGGACACAATCTTTTGTTGTTGTTGCTGGAATACAGAATCAAACGCACCTTTATTTTCCCTCATTTCTCTGATTTATTTGAATAGATGTGAAATAGAATAAAACAATTCTCTGTCGAACCAAAAAATCACCTTAAAAGCAATTCAATCTCTCCAAAAGCCTAACAAGTTACCATGTTAAAAACAAACGTTATTTTTAATAAAAAACGAATCATATTTTTTGGAGTTCAAAAAAGGAGAAATACGCACATTTGTGCGTAATTTTCCCCTCTGTGCATCAGTCTTGTCAGTGCCAAACTAGAGCACCAACTATTGTTGGACCACAAAATGAAATTTCCCCAAACTGTGCCTGTTCACATGTGTGACATCCGGCCTTTATGCACACTAATCTCGGCTATGTTACCGTCCAAGTAGCCGGTAATGTGAGTGAAATGTCAGGTGAATCCAAACTCGCAGCCATTATATAAACATAACTGTTTTCTGAGGAGAAGTTAACACACTTCTAAAATCTTGTGTTTTGACCGAAAATGTAAGAGCTCCATAAAAAACCCCAGAGACACTAGTTGTGTTCTGGTGAGGCTACCAGGCCCGGATACCCTGCAGGGAGCCCTGGCACGATGTGACCGCTGTCCCTTGGTGTGTCGGGGCCTGTGGGGAGCCACCGAGGCCGCTCACGTTTCCCAAGTTCATGTTCATGAAGGCGTTGGAGGTGCCAGACGGGGGGAGGGTGGGGATGCTGGTGTAGGTGCAGCTGTAATTGGTGTTGTACGCGGGACTGTTGTACGTGTACGCCGGGTATCCGTTATATCCGTACGGGTTGGATCCGTACGGAGCAGCGGCGGAGGCGTAGCTCTGCGCTCCGCCCAGACACGGCTTCCCATCGCGCACCAGCACCGGCACAGCGACGCGCCGGGGCGGCGGAGGGTGGTGCTGCCCCACCGCCTCCAGAGACTTGTCCTGCCGCTGCCGCTTGCACTTGTATCGGCGGTTCTGGAACCAGATCTTCACCTGGTTTGAGGTGAGCTTGAGGGTGGTCGCCAGGTGCTCGCGCTCGGGGGCGGACAGATAGCGCTGCTGCTTGAAGCGCCGCTCCAGCTCGAAGACCTGCGCCTGGGAGAAGAGTACCCTGGGTCTCCTCCGGCTCCTCTGCTTCTGCACCGGCCGCTCCGAGTCACCCTGCCCGCCCTCCGCGGCCTCTTCCCGGGACACCAACGCGCAGCTCTCTGGGTGGGTCGGGGGAAGTCACATAAAAAGAGTTAATACCTAAAATATCTTGAATATTATTTCCCATAATATGATGCCACTTTGCCACTTTGCCACATTCAATAAAATACAAAAACAAAACCAACCACTGGAAAACATTTCCTCTGTGTGATTGAAAATATCCTATAAAATAGAAAAACGTTTAGCCCAGTGCACGACAAAAAGCTTAGATATTATTATGAAAATTAGACAATCAAATATAAAACACCAGGGAGGCGGATAAACTGTGCAACACATGGACAAATAATATATTTAGGCTAAAATACCAGACTATGCAAATTATTGTAAGTACATTTTATTGACTTTCTGAACATAAAGCTCACGAGCAGCTTAAGACCTCAATTCCTTTCATTTGTTGATATATATTATGAATATTTGTTGCGCCACGTGAGGAAGACGTGTCTGACTGTGTTTATCGGCGCTACTTCGCGGTGACATTTCTTTTACAAGCTCTTTAAACTAATTGTCGGTTTATGGTCCACATATCATAACAAGACTCCGCGCGGCTGAACCACTAGAACGTGTTTGACATTTCCAGACTTTGCTGGATCCGTCTCAGGCCGCATGGACATCGACTCCCATCATTTGATAGCTCTTTATTGGGATGATGTCTGGCGTGAGGCGGAAGATGAATTAGAAAATATTTCTGAAACACTGTTTGCACTTTTACTAAACGGGATTTTTGTGTTGTTGCAATTTTTCAAAAACTTATATTTTGAGCTAAAGCTGGGTTTCATCTATTGGGTAAAAAAAATAACAATACTGCAATAATAAACTACGAAAGAGCTGCAGGATTATTATTACTTTTTAGAAATGACACAAAACCGATTTTTCTTTCTTTTTTTCAGTAGGCTCACATTGTGTTTGACGCTAACATTTACCTTCTAATATATTACAAATGATTTTATTTGTATGATTCATTTACAAAGCTAAACTACATCGTGCGTAACAGATGTAACGCAGTCTGGGTTCAGGTTACAGGTGAAGCTCTTCTTGCGGCTCAACATGCAAATGATTTTTGTTGCCACTGATGTGATATTTAACATTTAAAACAGCTGCTTCTATTTAAGATCCATGCTGCAGCACTTTGAAATGTTCTCCGAGAAACACTGGTTGATATTATTCTGATAATTATTGACACACGTGTCCTTTGTTGCCTTTTGTCTGCGGCAGCTTGGCGCTTCAACTCACTGCTCTCTTGTTCGTCCAGCTCGGCGGCCTCCAGCTTGGCTCCCTGCAGGCCCGGGTGGACGTACATGTCCGGGGACAGGCTGGTCTCCCCTCGGTCCTCCTCGCGCGCCGCTAGCGCGCTGAGGTAGGCCAGGTTGTCCTCACCGTCCGAGAAGGGAGAACTGTCCCGGGCCCCGGCGAGCATGCAGGACGGCGGGGTTTGGAAATGCCGCCGCTGCTGGGGAGGAGACCCGGTCAACTGCTGCTGGGTGAGTGCTCGGTGCTGGAGCTCCAAGGACCCGGCCTGCTGCTTGAGGATATCCTTGACAGAAAACGGCGTGGAGGTGAGCGGACTCTGCAGCATCATGTCATCCAGCTCCGGCTCTGCAGCACCGAGGAAATGAAGCCCACCGAGTAACATGCACGCCCCTTCTACCTTTCCACTCTTTTTCTAACAAATATTTGAGCGTAAAAGCCCCTTCTTTGGCAATTGGAGGTGCGTTAAACCTCTGGAATCCCTCATCGCCGTAAAACGCACGAAACCATGGGTATTAGTCCCGGGTTTGTCCATGCAGGTCTCCTCTCTGACAGATATAATGTCGGACTTTGTAAGTGGAGTTTGGACCGGGGCGAAGGAGCGCCCCTGCCTCCTCTGATGTCAGGGGGAGTGGTGTGTGAAATGGAAAGTGCGTGTAGGCTGCAACGGAAGCATTTGGGAGATCTAGAGAGGGAGGGAAGGTGGGCGTACTTAACGAATGCTCACGTCCTGGTTTTGTTTTCGGACTGGTGTGAATATAATAATATAATATGGACATTTAGTATTTTACAGACACCCTGCCCCTCCACTACTCTCCTGCAATGAATTCGCCCAACAGCCTTTTATTTTTATTTTTTTACGCACAATTGTTTTCACGTAAGAGGCCCCTCTCCGTCACTGCAAACAATTGACATATCTTTACCTTTTCTTTTATTATGTGTTTAAACATGTTACTTGCAGTTTTCATCATTCCACAGTCAGTCAGAACACTGGTGTTCTTGTGGGCGCACAGATTTCATGCGTAAATCTGTGCGCCCTTTTGGGGAGGCGCACCAATGCCGCACACTAGCTGCAGTGACACAACAAGGTCAACAGGTCAAGGGGTGATAGTCAGGAACCTCTTTGCCACTGTAGCTTAACTGTATCCAGATAGTTACAAACCAAAAGTGGGCCTGGCCATCATTACGCAAAACACATACTTGCTATTTTGGCAGTTTTATAAAATTGAGAGGTTTAAGTCACATTTTTAATGTCTTAGTGGTCCAAATTGATTAAGCAGACAGGAAATTGTGGATTTTGGTCGGTTCTTTTCCAACATGCAGACCCCCAGAGCAACGAAAGCCCTGATCTAAAAATATGCTGTTTCTGTTTCCAGAAAGAGTTTCACTGAGTGAACTCCTCTGAAGGCCGCTCATCGATGGCATCATGAAGCTGAGGTTTGTTGAGATTCATTCAAATCTTTTACGTTTGCTCTTCAGTTTAGAGGAGATGCCAAAGTTTCCAAAGAACTCTGTCACACTTTACAACAGAGAGTTTTAAAATATATATTTAGTGGAGTCATTAAAGGCCGTCCTGAGTTTCAGATGTCACTCTTCCCTCGTGAGAAAAGCTCCACCAGTAAAACTCAGATAAGGAATCGTTTGCAACTTTTAAATTCAAGGTGGAGATTTAAAGGTTCAAGAGGTTAAACGACGCTGTTCTCACCCTTTACTGCTGAACAGCATCTACAAACTCTCCATATGTTTTGATTTCACCCTCCTGTCCCGTCCCGGCACTCCTGCCGGCCAGCAGCCGGCTGCTCTCGGTGTCTCTCCGTCCTCTTTATCTCGGGTGTTGTATTAATAACCGCCCCGTGCCGATAAGCAGGGCCCCCCGGGGCAATTAAGATTCCTCCAGGAAAAACTGACTGACGTTTTTAGCCAGAACTAATCTGCTCCTATCAGCTCCCCTTTCCGTTTTGCAGCGGGACCCCCCTCTCCTCTGTCACCCCGCTCCATCCTGCAGGAGTTTCTTTCTGAAAACAAACAGCAAAGTTCTCAAAAAAGTCTGATTTTAGAAAATATTTAGAGAAATACACATATTTTACATTTCACATGGATTTTCTAATATGTGCTTTACTGAAAAAACATGTGTACTTGAATAATAATGTTTAATGAGCCACTTTCATTTGACATTAATATTGTTATATATACACTATATGAATAATATTACAGCTATAAAGTTGGTAAAAGTGCTACATAAGCTCTAATTGTTAGACCATTTCAGACAAGCATTAGATAATGGGACCAACCAAACTCAATCAAACTAAATATTAAAAAAATAAAATCACAAATGTTTACATTTTATTTTGATAACGATCATGTTTCAGGGAATTTGAACAGATTACTTTAAAGCAGTCAAGCTGTGGGGTGTGTGAATATTTATAAGTTCAAGAAAATGTATAAAGAAAGAATAACTATGAATGAATAATGAATGAATAATGAATGAGTAATCTGTTCTCTTTGTTGTTTGATTTGATGCATATGGCTTGATTCTGATTTCTCATGTTACTGTAAGTATTTGTGAAGTAACTGTAATTGATGGACCATCTATTATTTATTTATGTTTTGAGTAATATATAATAGAGTTGTGTTTGTTCTACCATGAGCGGAACAAATTACGTATGAATGTTGTTTCAAAGCCTTCTGCACACTTCTCTACTTACGGCTGTGTGATTCTGGTGAAGACTGTGCTTTCATGTGTGTGCAATCAGAGAAGTTAAACTCTTTATGCAAATAAAACCCCTAAAATTCCCAGAAATATGACATGCAGAGGACCCTGGTGTCCTCAGCGACACCTCTCTGTGTTCAAAGATTTCAATACATGAAATATATTTCATTGTTAACTCAGAGGCGCTGATGACACAAAACATTTGGCGCTTAAATAGCTGCAGAGCTTGTTGGTAAAAGATTCTCAGAGGCGTGTTTTCAGGAAAATCAGCACTTAAACTGAAAGTGTTACATATTTTTTCTAAACAGCTGAAGTCGGTTTCACAGAAAGGTTTAATTTTTAGGTGGACATACAGGAGTCTGCTGCGGTTCAAAGGTCATCAATGTTTTTATTCTGAAATTGTGGATTGCTGTGATCTTCAGTGTCTTTATATCGGACACTTTTTTCATCGAATAATTAATGCCAAAAACTGAAGAAATTGTACCAGATCATAAAACTGATGAATGTGCAGCGACCCTCACGTGACGTTAGTTTGACGCTCTTCTGTTCCGTTTACGACATTACGCTGTAAATACAAAGGAGAGGCCTCGTTCAAAGCCTTCTGTCAGGCTTCAAACCCGGGGCCTCGGTCCAGAGCTGCCTTATAGGCTTAGGGCCCCTCAAACACCTGGGGCCCCCAAACAGAGTGGAAATATGAACTCCATTTGTCATCTGTTTGTCTTTTTTAATTATCATATTGTATTAAAGCTCAAGCTAGAGGAATATTTTGGGAATAATTCTGTCGAAATGCAGTCAAAGTTTTCATTTTACTGTCCAAAAATATTTGAACAAATCACATCATGGTCACTAAACCACACAACCGCGATTATGAGAGCATGTTAAGTTTTCTACAAATACTTTTTTGAAACACAAAATAATTACAAAATAAGTGTCCTTTTTAAATTAAATTGTATATTTCCATAAGAGGGACACCGTGCAGAACAGGCCCTCATTAGGACTTCAAGTTAAAGTTTTCTCTGTTATATCATGATTTCATTGCATATTTTTATAAGTGTGTCTCTAAACTGGACCCTGGGGGGCCTCTCACAGACCTGCTGGGCCCCCCCTCCACAGGTACTAAACATCCTGATGTGCAGCTCTGGAATCAGACAGATATATGTGAGGCTGTCCCTGTAGACTCCACGGCAACTCTCTCCGATTCACGCTACATCATCATCATCAGCATCATCAGCGCTTCCTCGTAAAATAGGGCCAAACAAAGGCCGGGTAGTGTTTAGACTGGCGCCCGGCCGCCTCCATTTACTTTAAATAAGCATTAAATCCAATGACGCCAGGCTGAGCGCTGTGTTCTCTGTGTGTCAGATGGGGCCGACGCTCTTCAGCAGCTATTGGAAAGAAAATAAAACTGTTTTAGTTTAAGTTAAGTGACGGTTATTCTGGGACCAGGTTTCCAAACTGTGGTTCAGGGATCTCCAGGAGTCCTTGAAGGACTTCCAGGATGTATTTCCAAAAGGTTTCCAGGCCGATGAACAGATTGTGTTTAGCCTGAAATCAGTTGGAATTCAAAACTTATACTTTAGACTTTGTTGCCTTAACCAGTTAAGAAAGAAAACTTTGATCAAAACAAGTTGTAACTGTAAACCCGCCAAAATAAAGGAAGAAATGCAGCATGCTCCTCTTAATAAGATTTAAAAAATAACATTTTATAGCAATGTCACTGTTCATGGATCATCATTCCAGATCAGCAGCTCTTATATGGGAGTTCTAGAGGGACTAATTCCTTATTTCATTTTGATCTGAAACCTTTTAATAACTCCCTGAATAGGCTGAAACCCTTAAACCTCTCTCACCTGGACCAGTTCGAACAACAAGTCCTCTAAATCATACACAACCAAAAGCATTGTTGGTACCTTTAGAACAGCACGTATTACCACAACAACACAAGCCATTCTGATCTGATGCTTCTATCGACAGGTCGCCGTCATCTGTCTGTGCCGTTTTTTGACGCAACAACGCTTTGGTTAAAGTTCGGGCACAAAAGCGATTTGTTTAGGTTTTAGGGAAACATCGTGATTTAAGATGAAATAACCACTTTTTTAAGGTTTGGGAACGATCGTGGTCATGTTTTAAAAACCCAACAAAACAAACAGCTGCTGTTATAAAGACCAACGTTTTGTCGACACATCCACCACGACTTCCTCCTTCTGCAAACCTTTTCGCTGCACAATAACGTCACAATCTTTGCTCCTGACGCTCATTATTACTGCGACCGCTAGAGGAGTTTCTCACTTCCATGTTAACAAATGTCATTTGTGCAACACGTCCTCACAACTTAACCACAGAATAGGTCGTTTGACAATTACTCCCAAAACAACGTATTTGACCGTTGGAGAGCACCTGTGACAGTTTTAAACACATTGTTAACGTTATATGGTTAGGTTTTGGAAAAGTACATGGTCAAATTAAGGACGTTTGTTCCGCAACTTAGGTTACGTAGGTTAAGTATTTTACGTCAGATAACTTTTTTTTAAAAGTCTACACGGGGCACGAACAGAGGTCTCCTGGGTGACTGTCCCGTGTATGTTTCATTGGTAATGCTGTGTCTCTTTGTAGTTGCTCTGTGTCTCTTAGTAATGTTATGTCTCTTTGTGGTTTCAAAGCTGTTGCAAGACTTTTTTTTGGTCTCTTTGCCTCTTTACAGCTGTTTTGGTGTCTTTGTAGTCTTTTGCGTGTCTTTGTAGTTGTTTTATGTTGCTGTGTGGTCATGTTGAGTCTCTTCCTGGTTGATTCGAGTCTCTTTGAGTGACGTTTTTAGGTCTTCGGCAACAGGGGCCTCTGACACTTTGGGCCATCGGTCCTTTGCCCGGTGGGCCCATTTAGTTTGACCCCTTCCATTCACCCCGACCTCCTCCCGAC